TTTTGAACTTCTGGTCTCTCTCCCTGATGACCCCTCATGATCACTTTGCCTGGTGTGCTTCTTCCATGTACGCTTTGTTGTTTCTCTGCTAGATGGCTGGCTGCTTGTTTAACTCCAGGCCTTTAAGACTCCACACATGATAGCTTTTGATAGACCAGCACCATCAGCTTTCTTCACAACATCAGCTTATTCACCCGTTTTGTCTTAGCCATTGTGTCAGGGGGGTAGGTATCTATCATACAGTGCCACATTATTAGAACAAACCATTCTTGTACAGAGTTAAGTTTTAAGTAGACGCCCAAAGTCCTTGTTGCATTTACATATATATACAAGGGGTATTCCCCCCAAATGAAAATTTTTTCAAAGCTATGTATGTACATTTATATTTACATTAAATATTTATAATATTTACATTACATTAAAAAAAAACACCTTATCACCTTCAAAGTACTCTTTATGGCACAGTGTATTTGTCAAATCTGCGATTACATTCTCGGAAATATTTTTCAAACTCATCCATTTGGATGGCTGCACAGCACCTTCCTCATTTTTTTCTTCACCTCTTTTGTGTGCTCAAGTTGCTATCCTTTCCTGTCCCTCTTCATTTGTGGAAGCAAAAAGAAGTTGCATGGAGTGAGGCCTGGTGTGTAAGGTGCATGGGGCAAGAAAGGCATGCTGGGGTTTTCTTGCCAAAAACTGTGCACTGAGATGGCTGCGTGAACAGCTGCATTGTTGTGGTGGCAAAGCCAGTCCCCCATCTGCCACAAATCAGGCCTTCTTTTTGTCACATACTTTTAACGCTGTCTTTTCAGAACCACCAAATAGCTTGACTCACAGTCTGACCTAGAGTAACAAACTCCAAATGCACACTAAGTCAACATTTGGGAAGTTGATGGATGTCCAGAAGGATGTTTGTCATCCATCAACACTTACCTATTTTGAAATGAGAAAACCACTCGTACACTTCAATTTTTTTCTGTAAGTGCTGTCCTTGAAAGCTGTTTTCAACATCACAGCAGTTTCTGTGGCATTTTTCCTGAGCAGGAAACACTTCTCAGCTGCACTCTGGTCTCTGAAATGAACCATCACAAAAAAAGAGGTTCGAGTGAAACAGCTTTAAAAAATTCACTGTGACCAGAGAGAGCCACCCCAGGTGACGCCACTGGGCGCACTGACTGACTCAGAGCGTTGTTCTGTTCTCCCCTCGCGGGAGAGCTCCTTCCAGCAGAGCTTTCTCCCATTTTTTTTGAGGGTGGGGGGGGTACCTCTTGTATATACATAAACAAGCATTCATATATGTGCATTTATATATGCACACACATATATGTATATTTGGTTTAGTTTTTTCCTCCTACCCCATTATTATGCTTGCCTGATGTTCACCTCTGAGTAATTCCTCTCAGATTCAATTCGATTGCTCAAACACGCCCAGAAAAGCTACACCCTCCTCGTTGTCCATTTTAGAACTCTTATTATTCCCCTGTCTCCATCATTGTTGGCTCCTCCCACTTCTTTCTCCACTCTTGTGCCCCCCAGGAACTGTCAGTCTGATTGCCATTTCTGCAAGACTGTCTATCCTGCTTTTCTTGTATAGATCAACCCCCCAAAACAAAAGCAAAATAATAAGACAACAACATACAGGGACCAGGACTTTGAGCCACATTTGTGTCCAAAAGTCAGGTTCCCCATAGGTCCATGCTGCTGTTCCTGCAGTCTAGGATGGAGTGGTCTCATATAGCCCTGTACCTCCACATTTAAGTCTAAGGTTTTAAGTGTGGCCCCCAGTTGAGTAATACCCAACCAGTTCTGGTGGGGTGCCAAGTGCTGCCCCCAGTCAAAAGCCCAAATTGGGGTTCCTAGGGCACTTAGAACTTCCCTCCTATCATTAGTCTGTTTCACTCCCCTCCTAGTCTACCCCCATGTGGGCATGTCAGACCGGTTGCTCTTCCCAAACTGTTTCTTCAGGGCTGCCCTCTGCACTAGGGTCCTCTGGGGGGCAGCCACGTCTCGGCTGAAGCCAGCCCTGCAGTCATCTCTAGGAATGAGCTGCTCCATTCAGGAACTTTGCCCTCGTGGATTGGCCCACTCCCACTCTCCCTTTATTGTGGAGATACAAATAGTGCCCTTCCCTTGGGTTGGTTAGCGCCTTGACTCCCCCTCCTCCATTGCTTTTGTTTTTCTTCCCCTACCCCTCTGTGGACCTTAAACGCATATGAGAGATGGGGAGAAGATGCCTTTCATCACGGGTGCTGTCTGCATTTGTTGCTGATGACGTATGAATCTTTGGGTTTGGTCTGGGTCTTGTCAGAATATCTGGTCCTCAGCCCAGGAATTGTGTATTATGTGCAGTTTCCCTTATGCCTGTTACGAAGTTTGCGTTTACCTCAGTGGACTTATGTTGTACGTAACCTTTTGTGCTTGGCTGAATTCACTCAGCATAATCTCCTCCCAACTCTTTCCATGAGATGAGGTGTTTCATCGTTTTGCCTGTATTTTTTAGGGGTGCGTAGTATTTCCTAGTGCGAATATACCAGTGTTTTTAATCCATTTGGCTTGATGGAAATTTAGGTTGTTTCCAACTTTTTGCAATTGTGAACTGCACCATTATCACTAGTCATGGTCTGTTTCTTATTTCTCCTGGGTATATGCCCAATAGTGGGATTGTTGGGTCATATTTTAACTTGATTTCCATTTGTTTTAGGTATTGCCAAATTGCTTTCCACACTGGCTGCACTTATCTACAAGACCACCAGCAGTGAATGAGAGTTCCTATCTCACCTCACCCCCTCCAGCAAATGCTTTCTGTGTTTTTTTTCCAATTGGACTATTTTTGTGGGTTTTAGGTGGTGTCTCATAGTTGTTTTGATTTACCTTTCCTGGAGGGCTAGTGATCTGGAACATTTTCTCATATGTTTATTGACCATTTGGGTTTCCTCCTGTTTATTATGTATGTTCATGGTTCTTGGTCTTCTGCTTCCTCAAGCATTATATAGTGCCCATACTTATCTCTTGTTATGTCCTACATCTTGAGATCTATTTTGTCAGAGATTAGAATTTCAACTCCTGATATCTATAATTACCATTCGCTTGATATACTTTTGACCATTCTTTAACCCTCCAGCTCTGTTTGTGAGCTTGAGATGGGTTTTATTTCCTAATCCAGTCTGCTGGTCTTTGTCTTTTAATGGCTGAGTTTAGACCATTGATGTTCAGAGTAATTACATCCATATGTGGGTTCATTGCTGCCATCTTGTACCTTTTGTGTTAAGTATTTTCCTCCCTTCCTCCTTAGGTTGTGGATGTATAGAGGATTCATACTTGCTTGCTTTCTCCTTTGGGTCAAAGAAGACTCGGGCATTACTTTCAGTGCCATGGCCACTGAATATGTGGTCGAATATGTGGTTGGTATCTGTGGATTTTGGTCTGCTGTCCAAAGTGAGTTGGGAAGTGATCTTTGTAGTGCTGCTTTTCTTTTTACGTATTCTCTGAAGTGCTCCTTATCTGAGAAAACTCTACCTTCCCCTTCTGTGTTGATTAAGAGTGTGGTGGGGTAGATGCTTTGGGGGCTACAATTATTCTTTTTCAACTGTCCGAAGATGCTGCTCCATTCTCTCCTCGTCTTCATGGAAATCTGCTGATAAGGCTGAGCATATTCTTACCTGATTACTCTTATAGGTGACTTCATTTTTTTTCTCTAGCTGCCCTTAGGATTTTCTTCCTTTTCTCAAAAGTTGGATAATATGACTACTATATGTCTTGGTGTGTTTTTCCTGGGATTCAGTCTGATTGGTACCTTCTCTGCTTCCTGGATGATTGTTAGATCCTCTTTTATTATATTGGAGAAGTTTTCTTCCAGGAATTTCCTCGCTATTTTGGCTGTTGATCTCTTCATACATCTTGCTCTGGTACCCGAATTATTCAGATATTGTTTCTCTTCATAGCATCGCTCGTTGTTCTCAGGTTTTCTTCAGTTTCTTTAATTACCATATATACTCGAATATAAGCCGACCTGAATATCAGCCAAGGCACCTAATTTTACCGGGGAAAAAACGGCTTTTAAATGTGCTGAAAAAACTCGGCTTATACTTGAGTATACAGGGTATCTTGTTTGTTGAATTCTGCCTGGTTATCTCCAAGGTCACTGAAAGGTTCTCCGCTTCTTCCAGACTGTTGGTGAGGCCATTTACTGCCGTCTTTGTTTCTGCTGCATGTCTCTGTAGCAGAGAAACCCAGGGGAACTCATGTCGTGGCGAGCACAGCTTAGCCATCTGTGGGGAAACTGCCAAAAGGTCCCCAGGACACACAAGACCAGCTACGTCTAAATCCCTCCAATTGTTTCCCTCCCCTGCAGATTTGGAAACTACTCACAGGGAACTGTAGATGACTGTCCCTGCATTATTGCTGTCTTCCCCAACTTGCAATTCTTTTTGATCCTAAAACCACGTAGCTTGTCTTTATAGGTAATCTTTTTACTGGTACAACCAAGTCAGGCTGTCAAGGGTTACTCCTTTGTGGCTGCATTCTGTACAGACACTCATTTCACAATGTACAGATTTTCCAAAAGGATGCTCTTTTCCATTGAACCCTAATTGCTGGTGTGCATGTAACAGCATGTGCAGAATGCTGGATTAGGAAGAACATTCATTTCTGGTACCAGCATTCTCACTGACAGCCCTTAGCTAATTATGCTCTCGGGAACTGAGTTTCTTTGTTTTCAAAATTGAAACGATAACTGCTTCATTTATTTTTCAATTTTGGGATATTAAGAAATAGTTATCAAAAGCTTGAGAAGTAGAAAGCATATATAGTCCCATTGAGTGTTGCTATTATATGGAACAAAATTTGTAAACTTCAGAATTGACGTTCTTGTGGCTTGTTTCCCTCTCTCCATATCATATGCATAGATGTTTGTTATGCCTTTTCTCCTAATGGAAAGTGAGAAATGTATATTTTCTTAAGCAGTCAAATGATAATTTAAGTTTGAAATTATGTTTCTTTAGATAAGTTAACGTTGAAGATTCCTTGGAAGAACCTTTATGGAGAAGCGGTTGTTGCAACCCTAGAAGGACTATATCTGCTTGTTGTCCCTGGAGCAAGTATGTGCTTTCATGATATAATCCCCAGTAACGTCACATTGAAGTCCAACTTCTCCCTGGTTAAATAAGCTAATCATGCACGTATATATATGTTTAACATGTATGCACCTACACCTATGTCGATTTATATTGCCACATTTGTATGTAAACTTTTTACACTGGAAAGATGACTTTTACTCATTTGTGGCATTTATTTTGTTTTCTACGAATAATTGCTTTGCAAGTAATGCTTCGTATTTGGGTTCAGTGTATCACTCAGGCCATCGAGTCGGTTCTTACTCACAGCCACTCTGAAGAGCAGAATCGAACTGGTTCACAGGGTGTGTTAAGCAGCCCAGTTCTTAACCCACTGGGTTCTGTTTAGATGCATTCTCTCTCACACTATTTTGCAAGTGATAAATGCATTAGGCAGATTTATTTTGGAGGAGTGAATAGAAGTACATTTTTTGTTTTTATATATTGATACGTTAATCTACAGACTTCCAGATTGCTAAAAATTAACTCCCCCCCCCCACATACTTGGTTGCTTTTAATTTTGGTTCAGTATTCTTTCAAAGTCTGCATGTAAAAACAGGTATTTTTTTTCTAAGAAAGTATGATATTTTAATTTTTAATGAATATTTTAATGCAGTACAATGTTATTTAGCAGTTTTATCTTTAGCTCTTTTCAGTTATAAGAACAAACACTATAGTGCTAAGAAAATTTTAATTCTGGGGGCATTTTATAGAGAAGTTACTTGGAAATTCTCAACCTTTATATACATACTATTTCAATTTTTGCATTTTGCTTTTTTATCTTTATCCATACACATACTTTTTTGGTGCCAGTTGTCACAGGAAAATATATAGCATGGATCTAGCTTTTTTTCTTTCCCAGAACTAATTTTTTTAACGTTTTATTGGCATGTGCTTCACCTGTCATACAGTTTGATCGTAAATCGTGTGCAGAAAGTTGGTGCAGTCATCACGAGAACTTCAGACCAGGCCCTGGCCCTTTCACTCCTCCGTCACGCACTGTCCTGCGGGTCTCCTAGGGGAGGGGTGACTTCTAGCCTAAGTGCCGTTACAGTGTGGTCTGCTTGTGGTGTTCTCCACTGCCAGGGGCACTTTGTTCTTTCAGTTATCTTTTATTGTGTTATTTTCTAATCTCAAATGAGCAGAAGCCAGATTATCCAGTGAAAATCTATCTGTATCCTTTCGTCTGTTCCTTTATTACTCTACTCACCTTCTTCTCTCATAATCTTTCCTCTTTTCCTTTACTCTCTTTCCTTTTTGATGTAACTTTTGTAAGTAAAGAGGCATAATTATGCTTAAGCTTTTTATAAAACTAATCAAAAGAATGAAAAGATTTTTTTATTTACAAGAAATGTCTTGCATTACATACACAAATTCAAAGTGAGACTAAATGGTTACCATTTTAAAATTTACTAATTATAGTGTTTATCTTTGTGCTTTTAGGTATTAAATATGATGCTGAAAAAGAAGAAAAAGCTTTACAGGATATTAAACAGAAAGAGCTATCTCGAATTGAAGAAGCCCTTCAGAAAGCAGCAGAGAAAGGTACAACTTATAGCCCTGAACTTTAGCTATATATAGATATGCCTATCTTTTTGAAATATTTAACGACCTCTAAACGAAGCCAAGCCAAACCCACTGCCATTGAGTTGCTTCCAACTCAGAGCAGAGTAGCACTGCTTCTCTTCTTTAGGGGAACGGACAGCTTTGTCGTTCTCCCTTGGAGTGAACAGTAGGTTAGAATCACTAAGTTTAAGATTAGCATTGAGGTAAATGTGTAATCCACTACAGCACCAGGGCTCCTTAATGACTTGTAGGTAAGAAAACAAAAACTCACTGCCATTGAGTCAGTGCTGACTCATAGTGACCCTACAGGGCAGACTACAACTGACCCCGTAAGTTTCTGAGACTGTAACTCTTTATGGGAGTAGAAAACCTGGTCTTTCTCCCGAGGAGTGGCTGGTGGTTTTGAACTGCTGACCTTGTAAATAGATCACAGCCCAACTTGCAACCACTATGCTACCAGGCTCCTCAATGACTTGTAAAAAACGGATACTTATTTTTGAGTTTTTAAATGTTGTAATTCCAAAGAAATAGTCTTCCTTTGAAAGTCAAAGTATGAAAAAAAAAAAGAAAAGAAAGTCAAAGTACAGTTATAAGTTAACTCAAACGTATGGATTATGAATATGTTAATTACTCACATTTCAGAATTATTTTTCCCCCCAGTGATGGTTTTGTCTCTCTGCCAGTTTGATGTGCCTATTTTCCTTAAGCAAATGAAACCATTCAAACCGCTGTCACAGAGTGGACTCTGACTCAGAATGACCCTCTAGGACAGAGTAGAACGGCCCCTTAGGGTTTCCAAGGCTGTAAAACCCGTGGCAGCAGACGCCATGGCTTTCTTGCAGCAGTGCTGATGGGTTTGAACCCCTGATCTTTCGGTTGGCAGCAGAGTGCTGTAAGCTCCATCCCACCATGGCTCCTTCTTCCTGGCCAGTCTTTTGTACATGCTACTTCATGCAGGTTTTCCCAGTTCCCGAGTTTTTGCAGGCCTGTTTGTTTGGATCAGTGTTGAACAGGTTCTTTGTGTGCATTTTTACCTGTCTCTTTGTAAGAACATGTGAGGATGTGGTGCTGTAATTCTGTTTTATCAAACCAAGCCAAACCAAACTTGGTGCTGTCCAGTCAGTTCCAACTCATGGTGAGACCCGCCTGTCACAGAGTAGAACTGTTCCCGGGGACTTTATTTTGGCTTTAATCTCTAGCCTTTCTCTCTTGCTGCGTGGCTCACCCACCAGCCTTCCTTCCATTTAGTCGTCGAGGACAAGCTGTTCACACCATCCAGGGGCCCTTTTATTGTATACGATATGTTTAAAAACGTGATTCCTCAGGATTCAACATTCTAACATCCCGCCTTGTTTTAAAAATTAAATACATGTGTACATATGTGTATTTTTGTTTCTGCATTTATATTTGGTCATAAATTGTGGTAGACATTATTTTTAAAGCAGTTTTGATTTTATAGCAAAATTGTGCACACAGTAGAGAGGATTCCCACAGGCCTCCTTTGCCTGCTGTGCATGCTTTCTCCTCCCATTGCCATCTTGCCCTGTAGCATTTCTGCAATAGATGAATCACTGTTGTCTTACTAAGGAGAGTCCATAGCTTACACATGAAGGTTCATTCATTATGTGTTGCCAACCTGTAGACTTTGACAAATGAAACATACTGTGCACCCACTTGCATTTAATTTTGTTTTTTATATGCAAGCAAATTTGATTATTGTTTTGATTTGCTTTATGAAGGAAGAACCAAGGATAAGGCGGTAAAGCGTAGTCTACAGTCTCATGAAGTGAAAGGCTTTTCCAAACCTTCTTATTTCTCTCTCTCTCCCTTTTACGAGAAATCTAATCCCGTAGCTAACTAACTGAGCTACGAGAGTTATTAGTATAAGGAAGTGCATGTATTTTCTATGATGAAGGAAGAAGATGCCAGAAATACTAAGGTGAATGCCACAATTATTGGGTCTTTAAAAAAATATATTGCAATTACTTAATTAGCAATGAAAAAGTATACTTAGGCATAAGAAGACTTCAATTTTTGATGTAAACTGCTGACATTTAAATGAATCATTAAGAAATCTTTTAAAATAGCTTCTCCATTAAAATTCTTTAACAATGAGTCTAATTCCTATTGCTCCAAATGCTTTCTCCTTTGTTAAGTGAGAGATTCTTTTATGAAATGTTACCCAAATCCTTAAAATGCAGAGGTTACCATAGTGAAAGAAGTGAAAAAAGCCTAGAACATTTCCCCTTTCATTTTTCACACCAGTGTGTTTTACATTTTTGCTGAAGTGTAGGAGTATATATTTTCATGAAAACAAGTTTATTTGCATTCTTTTTGTGTTTCAGACAAAGCAAGCAAAGAATGGTTTTGTTTTATAACAACATGTTTTTCTCAATTTCGGCCATTAGAAGCTATGTATAAATCCTCACCCAACCCCTCAAAACCAAACCTACCGCTGTTCTCGTTCACAGTGACCATCTCTAAAAGGTTTCTGAGGCTGTAAACAATGTTTATTTACTTATTTATTTTAGATGGAAGTAACTTGTGATAGCTTAAAAAATATTTTCGTGGTTTCAGTTAAGTGTAAGAAAAGACATGTTGAATACTCTCTCCAGTTGTAGTTGTTCATAGTTTGATTGGCAAAATTTATCACATGTAAAATGATAACCTGCTATACATTTTGAACTTGGCACCTATAAAACTTTCTTTTCTGGGTCCGTAGTGCCTAGAAAACAGGTCTGTGGATCTGGTAGAGAAACTATTAAGGGTGACTTGATTTATTTGTATCGGTGTATGCTGTGAGTGCCTGCAGTACTAATATTGTGTAATTAGGACTGTGGGCCCCATATGTTTTGTTGTTGTTGTTAGGCGCTACCACGTTGGTGACAACTCCAAGTGACTCTTGGCACAACAGACTAAAACAGCCTCACAGCTGTTCTTATTTTTTAGCGCATTGTTACAGCCATGGATTACATCGGAGCTTCTTATAATATACTTTAAATATTGCTATATAGAACTAAATCAAAGAAAGTGAAACTCAGTTGTCACATTATTAAGATTTTTAAAATTCTGAGTATATAAGAGCTGCATTCAAGAATGGAAAAGAATGACTATTTTTCTTTAATTGTTAAGAAGTACCAGTTTCACATATAATGTTTCCACATAAATAACATATATTTGCATACACCTTGCATAGCACATAAGAGACTAATGCCTAAAATGATTGGAGTTTGCCAAAAAACCCCAACACAGCACATGTGTTACATAAAGATGTGTCATATTTAATTATTTTGACTTCATATACATACTCTTCTAGTTTCTGTGAATGTAGATCATACCTTGTAAGTCATTATTCAAGTGAATAAAAAGACAGCCCTCCCTTTTAGATGTTTCACACTGTACCAGTATTAATTAAAGAACAATTGGCATACTTAAATTTTCACATTTACTATTATTTCTCACTTCTGGATTGTAAAGGCACTGTCTCACATGGTGTTTCAATGGCCATGAGCTTATGGAAGTCGGTTGTCAACCCTTTCTCCTGAGGCCTTGCCAGATAGATTTGAACTGCCCCGTGTTTCAGTTAGTAGCTGGATGCAAACCGTTTGCATCATCCAGGGACTCTAAGAGTGGTAACAAGGGGAAGTGATTCAATCCTAATCTATAGATGATAAAAATGAAGACAAATCTTCACGATGAACTGTTTTGAAAAACTATTTTTACTTACATCATTTCATAAAATACAGTGTTGCGCATTATCAGGTAGAACATAAGAAAATTTAAACATTACTGAGCACTTTTCTGGAAAGCTTGCTTAACTGTAAAAATAAATTCTTTGGTATTTAAAATTTTTTATTTCTAGTGGAATGAATTTAGCTTCCTAGAAAGTATATCACAAAGGGAGTTATTAAATTGCCAGGGAGGCTGAAATATACCAAAGTGCTAATAGATTCTTTATTTTAAATGTTAATTTTTATCTGCACACTTAAAAATCCAATGTTTTTGCCAAGAAGACTTATGGTAAAAATGATAGGCCCCCGCCCCCCCTTTCCACTGTTTTGTCAGACCCATTCCTTAGAAGGGTCCTTATTTGGTAAATATTAACATTCTGTCATTATCTTCATTATCTAATGTATCAATTTAAGGCAGCAGCTAAGACTTCCTGTGAAGTGACCAAGGAATTTACCTCTCTTACTACCTGTATCTCATGGTTCAAGACAAATCATGATTATTTCTAGTTTCAAACCAAGCCAAACCGGGCTTGTTGCTGTGGGTTGGACTCCGCCTCCTGGCTGCACTGCGTCTGTCAGAGTGGAACTGACCCCACAGGGTTCCAGTGGCTGTAATCCTATGCCAGGAGGTTGCCAGGCCTTTCTTCTGAGTGCTGGCGGATAGATTTCAGTTGCTAACTTTTCAGTTAGTAGTTGAATGCAAACCGTTTGCACCTCCCAGGGACCCTTTTTTCAGTATTACGACAATAGAAATATTGTTCATAGCATAGGTCAAGTGATTTTTTGAGTATATGAGTATGATTATATATCTCCCTATACCACTGTTTGTTTTTTAATGTGTATATACTTAAACATTTTTTTGCTTCATTTTCTATGTAAACATATCTTTAATTCTTTTCACATGCTACGTGCATGTCGTTACGAATGCTGTTTTCCAGTTATTCAAATGCATCAGATAATCTTATCAGTTCTCTTTTCCTTCCCCTCTCCCTTGAAAATCTCCCACGGAACTGGTTGGCTTTTCCACCAACTGGTCTTTACGGCTCTTCTGTGTTCACTCTGTTCTGGGCCCCTCGCCTCGTCCTTAATTTATCCCTAATTTAGCGGGAGCACAACTACTAGCTTGGTGAGGAGACATGTGAGGGGAGAGAAAACTGGATTTAATTTTTGAAATCCTTTCAAGTCTGAGCAAATCTGTTTTCACAGGTATTTCATTTGGGGATAGAGTGATAGGTTAGAAATTAGAATTTTGAAGACAATTTGCCAGGCATGCTGCATGTGACTTACCGCATTACCAGTCACAACTCTATGATGTAGATACTATTATTGCTCCTGGTTTACAATCGAGGAAGCTGAAAATTTACACTTTGTCCCAGGCTACTCAGAAAGTGGTAGAGCTAAACTTTCAACTCACTTTGGAAGTGGAGTATGGTGTTAGCTGGTCATCAGCAACAAGAATGGGTACAAAAGACTAAGACGGTGTAGCTGAAGGGAACAAATTACAGTGATGCTGAAGAAGGTTTTTTTAGTTTACCCTAAAATTTGTGTCAAATATCTCAGTAATGCTGAAATGGACAAATTTGGAGCAAAAGGAGAACCAAAAAAGGGTGTACTCCGGCCCTGTCAGAAAACGTGTCCAGTGATCCAATGAGACAGCTGCCATATTTGATTATTTTCTGCCTCACTTTGTTACTTTTAAGTTATTATAACTTTTAGTTATTGAAATTTTTAATTTAATATTATGAAAATAGAAGTTCTGTGTTGAGAGGGTTGAAATGGGGGTCACAGTGTTGTTTTCTTCTAACTAATTTCTGTGGTTACCTTACATGATTTCTAATTCTTTGAATGACATGTAAGCATATTTTACATGTGAAATTAAAGGTACCTTTTAAATGTTTTGCATTTTGTATATTGCTGCCATGCGGATGCAGGCGCGCATTCAGGGGAGTTCATATATGGCTTGGAAAACTTTGTTTACAAGGACATCAGGCCTGGTGGGTATGCATGGTTAATTATATTCAGCTGTATTTAAATATATATTCTTATGAATGTTTATGCTTGTAATGAAGCTCATTTGGCCGGGGTGCATCATTTGAGACCATGGAAATGTAATACACCATGTTTCCCTTGCCATTATTTCCTTTACCTACCTTCACCAGCCATTTAATTATTACCTCATACCTGACTGTGTCCTTGTGCAAGCAGTCTGCTCGATGCTAGGTGTTGGTGGGGTAAAACAGACATGATCCACTGCCCTTGTGAAGTTCACAGTTTTACTTTTAGATGACCTGATCTGGGCCGCCTCTTTGGCTTTCATTTTGCAGTATAATACAGGGATCTCTCAATTAAGCGATTTCTCGTTATAACAGTGGTTTCAAACTTTCAAGAAAACCCAACGATGAAGTCGAGGAACTTTCTAAAGTGAGCCTTCCTTCTGCACCCTAGTGGGCGAGGGTTCTCAGCTCCTGAGCGTGTTGTGGTCATCTCACTTCCTCTCCGATGGGCTTCACCCTGTAACAGCCCTCGAGACACTTGCAGACTCCTGCCCTGCATGGAATATTGAGAACGGAAACTTAGCAACAGGCAAATGTAAAAGGCTTCTGGTATATACTAGGGAATTTACCAAGTAAATTTGAATAACATTTTCCTGTGTCTAGATTGTAACTAGTCTTTATTTTATGTTACTGTCCAGCTTTTTCTTCTAACTTAGTCACAATTAAAATTTGTTTTGATTAAATGGCAAGCAGGCACTGTCCCTTGCCACTTAAGCAGTAAGCATTCTGCTTGAAATGATTTTTGCCACTAGAAACTTGTGCTACAGTCAATTCTATTGTGACAAATGAAAGAAGAATGTGCACGCTAAATTTCATACACACTATCAAGTGAAGTTACTTTGTACCCAGTTTCCCTTTTAACATCTCTGTCTCTTTAGTAAGTGGCTGACTCTGCAGTTATTTTGTTTAAGGTGAGAGGTAACATGGAGACACTCGTGGCTCATTATTCATGTTTATGAGCTGTACATTACCTGCAGCCTGCCAGTGGCAGTGTTTTCTGAGCCACCAAGAGTATCCTGTTTCCAAGAGACGTGTATAAGACCCAATGAACTCTTCAGGTAGCTAACAAAATCATTGCACAGCATCATTTAAAAAAACAGGGATTGTTTTGAAGGGAAACAGTGTCGAATCAGAGTGGTCTGTCTTAAAAAAGTAGTTTGAAGACTGGAGGAAAACAGCAGCAGCAAAGGGGAGCTGATAGCCAGAGTCCAAGGAGAAAGAACATCTTCTGATATTGACTAGTGGCATTGTACAATACTGCTTGATCTCATTGAACTATGGACTGTTATACTATCTGTAAGAGCTCCCAACAAAATGATAAAAAACTGAAAATATTTATATGTAACGGGAAAAAACAAAACATTAACCCACTAGACCCAGGATGTCAGTGATTCACAAATGAGATTAGTTGATTTTGTTGATAACATCTTCAGTTAATTGGTAGAGCTTAATATATAATTCATGATCATGTGCTTTCTCAGTTTCTAAGCGTCTGTTCACTCCTCTGTGGTTGTCGGCATTCTTTTCTCTAGAGCAGTAGTTCTCAGAATGTCAAAGTTATGTTCAAATCAACCGAAGGCAGTGTGCTGTTTCACCAGTGATACAAAAGCAGCGGTGGTAAAATCGCACACGTTAAGTCCTTGTAACCTTTGCCACAGTAAAACGAAAAAAACATTAAATCCATTTCACTTAAGAATGCCTTTAATGAAGAAGTGAAGCGTTAGCTGGATGAACAGCAGCTCTTCAGTACCTGTCTGTAACAGTCCGCGTGACCACACAGGAGAACCTGTGAAGCACGTGCACTGTCTGGATGAGCAGTACTTGTGCAATTGAGCTCGCAGCTCAATAAGCTGACTCCTCTTTAAAACCCATGTTTACTTGAAAGAAGACCTGACAGACCATTAGATGTGGGTGTTTGATGGGTATTTTAAGAAACAACTTTAGAAGCAAACAAGTAGTAACTGACAGTATTTGTTGCCAATAGTAAAATTTAGCTTCTGAGTGAAAGTTAGAATTTTGGGAAACTTGTATTACAGCTTCTCGGTTTTAAAGGCTTTTGGTAAGACAGGTGGTGATATTAACAAATATAATTTTTGATAATAAATAATGAAATAAATAAATATTTAAAAGATCTTTCCCCCTCCCCTGTCCCCTAGAAGATCTTAATAAGTCAGTAAACTAGCATTTCCAAACAACCAATGTATGATGCTGAAAAAAAAAAAAGCATGTTAAAAAAAAAGAAAAGGTCCATCTAAAGTGCTAGGTGGACCAATTGATGTTGATGCTATAAGAATGAAAAATGCACCGACGTGGTTTCGCTCCAGGAAGTAACTAACCTTTAAGAAACTACTACTCTCAAATTTCAATTCGGAATTAATGTCCACAATTACACACAAAAGCAATAAAAATACTCTTCCCGTTTCCGATTACATTATTTCTAGTAAGATTTAATTTTCTTCTTTTACTTCTTTTGAGACAATGTATCCAAACAGATGGAAGGTAGCAGATATGGTGATCCCTGTCTTCCAATAAGCCAGACATTAAAGAGATTGATACAAATATAAAACCATGACACTCTTCCCATCTAAACTTAGTGTTCAGAAAATACCTTACGTAATTATTTGTAATGTTATAATGTAATAGTTTTTGTTATTTCAAAATATTTTAAGCCCTTTGAACTGTTTGTTAACTCAATATATTTATTTAAAACATTTTATCAATTTTGATTTCCATTATGATAACTATTAATAGTGGGAACCCATATAAGTTAAAAAGACCATTAGGGCCTTTAATTGTTGAATGTGTAAAGGGACCCCGAAACCAAAAATTTTTGAGAATTACTTTAGAGAATGATTGAGACTCATAAATTATTGTCCTTCAGATTCATTGAAAACTTTCTCAAAAGAGCTGTCTAGCACTCTGGTTACATTTTTAAAAGGGAAGTGCAAATTGATGGCAAGGGAAGGGTATGTAATGAATGCCTAGTGGGGTTCAATCAAGTGCAGTGTATCAGAGAAGAATTACTGAGAGCTGAATGGAGGGTGAGCATGATAGTGGGATAGGAGGCAAGTGAAAGGAAATAGAGGAAAGAAGTAGGAGGCAAAAGCTATTTGTAGAGGTATAGCTATAGGCATATATATGTAAATATACTAATTTATAATGAAAGGGATAGAGAACAATGTACATATAGTTACATGTTAAGTATTAAGATAGCAGACAGACTTTGGACCTCTCTCTATTGAAGGCCTCCCTCAACACAAAACACTTTGTTCTAATAACCTGGCACTCTGTGATACTCACCTTCCTAACACGATTGCTGAAGACAAAGTGGGTGTATAAGCAAATGTGAAGAGAGCGGATGGTGTCTGGCTATCAAAAGATATAGTGTCTGGGGTCTTAAAGGCTTGAAGTTAAACAAGCAGCCATCCAGCAGGGAAGCAAATAAGCCCATATAGAAGAAGCACACCAGCCTGTGTGATCGTGAGTTGTCAACGTGATCAAGTATGAGGTATCAAAAGATCCAAAACAAACAACTATATGGATGTGAAGAGTGGGGTTGAAGTGGAGACCCAAAGCCCATCTGCACACAATTGGATATCCCCCAACAGAAGGGCTATAAGAAGGGATGATTCAATCAAGTTGCAGTATAGCACCAATGAAACACGCATCATTCCTCTAGTTCCTGACTGCTTCCTCTCCCCCACTACCATGACCTAGTTCTACCTTACAAATCTGGCCAGACCAGAGTACACATATTGGTACAGATAAGAGCTTAACACATGTAATTCAGGACATATAAAACCCTCAGGTACAGTAGTGGGAGTAGCAATATCATGAGGGTAGGGGGATGGCCGGGAGGGTGATAGGGGAAGGGGGAGGTAAGAGGAACACATCACAAGGTTGGGTATGTAGCACCCACCTCCAAGAGGACAAATAACAGAAATGTGGGTGAAGGGAGACCGGACAGTGTAAGATCCGAAATAATATATAATTGATCAAGGATTCATGAGGGTAAGAGGGCTGGGGAGGGAGAGGGAAAAAGAGTATATACCAAGGGCTCAAGTGAAAATGTTTTGGAAATGATGATGCCATCCTATGTACAAGTATGCTTGATAAAATTGATGGGTGGAATGTTATAAGAGCTGTAAGAGCCCCCAATAAAATGATTTTTTAAAATCATACAAAGAAAGGACTTACAACTGAAAAAAACAACAACATCTAACATGAGATCAAAGGTAGAACATAGGGTTAGAATAAATGTGCAAACAGGGAGGTAAGAGGTTAGGCAACAAGAGCAGGTTATGGTAGACTCTAAACCCAGGCAGATGGCACACTTCTTTTTAAAATTGTTTTATTAGGGGCTTGCACAACTCTTATCACAATCCATACACACATCAGTTGTGTAAAGCGCATTTGTACATTCATTGCCCTCATCGTTCTCAAAACATTTTCTCTCCACTTAAACCCCCGGCATTAGGTCCTCATTTTTCCCCCTCCCTCCCCGCTCCCCCCTCCCTCATGAACCCTTGATAATTTATAAATTGTTATTTTGTCATATCTTTCCCTGTCCGATGTCTCCCTTCACCCACTTTTCTGTTGTCCATCCCACAGGGAGGGGGTCACATATAGTTCCTTATAATAGGTTCCCTCTTTCCAACCCACTCTCCCTCTACCCTCCCAGTTTCGCCACTCACACCACTGGTCCTGAAGGGATCATCCGCCCTGGATTCCCTGTGTTTCCAGTTCCTATCTGTACCAGTGTACATAGATGGAACACTTTCTGAAAGCTCTTCTAGCCAAATGGGGTTGCTTTCAGGGTGAGGCTGGGCTTTATTGTTTCTTTTCTAATGCTATTTCTTTGGCAATTCAGTCTTTTCCAGAATGTCTAATATACGAACAGGAAAGTATCAAGAACTATCACTGTGGCAAGAGACACTGGTATTAACAACACCCAGATTCTACCATTGCATAATTATTAAGTATTTCCTACTTGAACTTTTTTTTTTTTAATCTTGTAATCCGGTGTTGAGGCAAATTGCTTTAAAATGTCAAGGAAGAAAAAATTTTAGGATTTCAACCACACATTCTCAAATATATATAACATTGCGTTTTGATAGTTTTTATAATTTCCAAATGTAGAATTTTTGATTCTTTCATACATCTTGTGTTTTGTGGTCAAGTGTTGGAATAGTCCCTGCTCTGATGGGGCCACTCACCTAGTGGCAAGACAGCTGCAAATACTTCTGTTATACTGTAATCACTGTTTCATGGCAGTCTGTGTAAGGCACAGGGGGCGATGGCCCTGGACATGGTTGGGGAGACCGGCTTACACTGGCAGTTGTGCTGGATTTCAGATTTGAAAGAAATTTGGAAGAACTAACCCAACATTGAGAAATTACCGGTATGAAGGTATTAGTCATTAGGAAGTGTGGTTTGCTCTGGAAAGTATAAATACTATTTCTGTAATAGCAAGTGTAAGGGATTGGGGGCAGGCAATAGAATGGATTAAGGAGATAGGGGCCAGATCATATAAGGATCTTTGGATCAAACCAATTTTGATTTTATCTGAAAAATGTGGAGAGCCTTTAAAGAATTTTGAGCAAGATTACTGGTCTCTGCCTGGCAGTTAGGAAGCAGCAATCATCCGAGTACAGAAGGAAATGATGGTGAAGACTAGTGGCAGAGAGACCATATAAGACATTCTCAAGGGTTCAGATAGAGGCGATCTTTGGTGGGCAGTTGAATATGAAAATGTGAAACTTGGATAAGACAAAAGCTAGTTAATTCCAGCAGATGAGGCAGTGGCAAATGAATATATTTAAAGCTATTTTCAGTGTACAAAAAAAAAAATCTTATCCTCTGCCATTGAGTTGATACTGACTTATAACGACCCTATAGGACAGGGTAGCACTTGTGGCTTTCTGGGTCTGTAACTCTCTCTCTTTTTAAAGGAGTCTGTAACTCTTTTTTTTAATTTTTAAAATTTAAATCATTTTATTGGGGGCTCGTACAACTTATCGCAATCCATATATACATCCATTGCGTCAAGCACATTTGTACATTTGTTGCCCCCATCATTCTCAAAACATTTGCCTTCCACTTGGGCCCTTGGAATCAGCTCCTCATTTTTCCCTCTCTCTCCCCAGTTCCCCCTCCCTGAGTCTGCAACTCTGATGGGAGTAGAAAGCCCCATCTTTCTCCTGAGGACTGGCTGCTGGTTTTGAACTGCAGACCTTGTAGTTAGCAGCCCAACACATAACCACTAGGGCTTTTATTTCCATGAACAGTTGTTTGTTGGTTTGTTTCATTTTTTAGACTGTTAAGTCACTAAAGAATTTCACCTTTGAGGTGCATCAACTAGAGGAAGTCATCCGTCTGCAGCCTATCCATTCATTTCATTTGTGTTCCTGTGTCCCACCATGCTTATCAAAGCCTTCCGTTTGTTTTCTATCTATTACATTTCCAAAATTTTGGTAACATTTTGAAATTAAAGTGACACTGTATTGCTAAAAATAATAACATTTTAAAAGGGTATTCATTGCATGTGAATATTTCTTTCACCCATTTTTTTGTATACTTGTACTTGCCAAGTTATTTTTTAGCTCAAGAAGGCTATTGTTTATAACCAAGGCCCATGAGCTTGTGCTTGTGTTCAATAACAGTTTCAAATAAAATAAGAGGAAGTGTACAAAACTCTGCTGTAGGAAGAATTCTCTTGTTTTATTTTCTGTCCTCTAGTCTGCTAACTTGAATTTTATCCTTTTCTCACTAAAATGCTTCCACTGAGAAGGACGTAAACGTAAAAAGCACAAAAAACATTTTAAGAAACCTTTTAAAGGTCATGATCGCTCAAAAGGTAGGTAAAAGTAGCTTTCCTTGCCATGTGTCACTTATGCACATTGCAAATTGCTTTCTGTCTTAAAAGGTAAAATGATTGTTAGATTACATTGTTGCTTCAAAAGTCAGTTTTAAGTGGGGAATGTTTATTTAAATCTAAATACAGTAAGGTGAAACAAGAACACTAGGATAGCTTGTGATTTCCATTGGGCAGTGCTTCCTCCATCGTGTGGTCATTGCTTATGAAGTATGGGAGAATTTCAGTTCTTTAACTTGTCTTTTTCTGTTTCTTATAGATAAGCCAAAAGAAACCAAAAAGGATACGTTCTTGGAAAAACTGGCCACTCAAGTAATAAAAAATTTACAAGTGAAAATCACGGACATTCACATTAAGTATGAAGATGATGTAAGTATCTTTATTGTCTAATTTTCTAATGAAATATGTTTTATGATGTTAACTTGTGATTGCTCGCTCTCTAGAGTACTTGTAGAGTGCAGTTTTGAATCTAAGATAGGTGTTTCTCTCCCGATGAGTGCACCATCTTTTTTTGTGGTACTTTAGTTTCATTGATGATTTACGTGTAAAATATACCATAAAACCGTCTTGTGCTCCTTTCTGAAACTAATAGAGGAGATTTGGGGGTTGTATTCTATTGTGTATTTTTCCTCATGGCTCATAGTATTATAACTTTAGAGAGTAAAGTTTGTCTTCTTACTGAAAAAATGTTCTTTCTAAGAGGTGATGAAATAATCAGTGTCAATGGTAGTCAGCAGGCCACTTGACTGCTGGTCCGTTCACCAGTGTAATTGAACACCTTCAGCTGAGTTCACACATGTGGACACATACGTTTAGAAACCAGATATCATTTATAACCAAGAGTTTGGTATCAGTTGATTAAGAACTATTTTGCAGATTGATTTTAGTTAAATTGTTACAACATTTTTGAATTGAATGTATACTGTTTTCTTCTAAAGTTTGAAACATATACAAGAAGCCTTGCACCTTTTTCTTTACTTCAGAACTTAGAGTGGGAGAAATATGATCTCCTCGCGTAAAGATTTCAGCCTTGGACCCCAGGGAGTAGTTCTACTCTGCCCCATCAAGTTGCTGTGCATCAGAATCGACTCAGTGGCAGTGCGTTAAGAAGTTGGGAACATTATTCCATCTCTGCCAGATTTTAAGTTTGCATTAAAAATTTTTTAAAGTGTAGATTATATTAGAAAAGCACTGACATATTGCTTATTTTCCTTTCCTTCTAAGTCTTAAGTAGCTTACTATGCAGGGAGCACACTCGTGGCTTATTTCATCTCTGTCTTGATCTGACTATTTTTGGCGCTGTGGAGGCCTTAAACAGAATTTTTTTGACTACAGATCTAACTCATTAATTCCCTTGTTTTTAACAAGCTTAGGAAAATAAAGTGTACTTCACACATTGTGGAAGTGGGAAAATGGTGATTTATCTAGAACTACATGGTGGTATGTTGATGAATAAAAACCTCAGTGTGAACGTTAAGCCTTTATTGATGAAGTGTAATTAGAAGGAGCCCTTCTTATGGTGGTATATTGGTTAGATGTTGGGCTGACATCCATAAGGTCAGCAGTTCAAAACCACCAGCTGTTCTGCAGGAGAAAGAAGGGTGTTCTTCCATAAAGAGTTACGGTCTCAAATTCTTTTTTTTTTAAATAAAAATAAAAGGTTCATTTTGATTGATTTATTTATTTTTAAAATTATTTTATTGGGGGCTCGTACAACTCTTATCACAATCTGTACATCCATCTATTGTGTCAAGCACATTTGTTGCCTTCTACATTCTCAAAACATTTTCTTTCTACTTGAGCCCTTGGTATCAGCTCTTCATTTTCCCCCTCCCTCCCGCCCACCCACACCTCATGAACCCTTGATAATTTATAAATGATTATTATTTTATCATGTCTTACACTGACTGATGTCTCCTTTTACCCACTTTTCGGTTGTTGGTCCCCCAGATGGGTTATATGTAGATCATTGTAATCGGTTCCCCCTTTCTACTCCTACCTTCCCTTTACCCTCCTGGTATCGCTGCTCTCATTATTGGTCCTGAAGGGTTTATTTGTCCTGCATTCCCTGTGTTTCCAGATCTTATCTGTACCAGTGTACATCCTCTGGTCTAGCCAGATTTGTAAAGTAGAATTAGGATCATGATAGTGGGGGTGGGTGGGGAAGGAAGCTATAAAGAACTGGAGGAAAGTTGTATGCTTCATCAGTGCTATACTGCACTGACTGGCTTGTCTCCTCCCCACAGGCCTTCTGTAAGAGAATGTCTAGTTGCCTACAGATGGGCTTTGGGTCTCCACTCTGCACTCCCCCTCATTCACAATGATAAAATAGTTTGTTCTTTGATGCCTGATACCTGATCCCATCTATACCTCGTGATCACACAGGCTGGTGTGCTTCTTCCATGTGGGCTTTGTTGCTTCTCAGCTAGATGGCCACTGGTTTATCTTCAAGCCTTTAAGACCCCAGTTGCTATATCTTTTGATAGCCCGGCACCATCAGCTTTCTTCACCACATTTGCTTATGCACCCATTTTGTCTTCAGTGATCATCTCAGGAAGGTGAGCATCATGGAATTCCAGTTTGATAGAACAAAGTGTTCTTGCATTGAGGGAGTACTTGAGTGGAGGCCCATTGCTACCTTAATATTATGCCTATAAATAGTGCACATAGATCTATTTCGCCATCATATATAAATACATTTACATATGTACATGCCTGTATTTAGACCTCTATAAATGCCCTGTGCCTCCTAGTTCTTTCCTCTATTTCCTTTTACTTTCCTCTTGTCCCACTATCATGCTCAGCCTTCATTTGGGTTTCAGGAATTCCTCTCGGTTACATTGCCCTTGATCAAGCCCTGCCAGGCATTCTACACCCTTCTCACTATCGATTTTATATCACACGTTGTCCCCTTGTCCCTGCGTTTGTTAACACCCACTTCCTTTCCCCCCACCTCCCCTTCTCTCATGTCCCCCCCTCCCCAACCATCAGTTCGTTGTTTTCTCCTCCAGATTGTTTATCCCGCCTATCTTCTCTAGATAGACCTGCAGAGATAAAATGCACACACAAAAAAACAGAGCAAAACAAAGCAACAAAAGAAAAAACAACAACAACAACAAAAATACAATGGCAAAAAAGAAAAGAAAAGCCTGCAAATAGTTAAAGGTCTGTTAGTTGACCTTCAGGAGTGTTTTCCGGTCAAGTCTGATGGGGTGCCATGCCCTGGCCCCACAGTCTATTTTTGGTATTTCCTCAGGACTTCCTTGCTCTGTTCCCCTTGCTGTTCTGTTGCACACCTTTAGTGTTTTGCCTCTGTGTGGGTGGGGTCAGTGAGGGCTGTCATGTCTTGTAGTGAGGCTGTCCACTGTGCATTGGCTGCTCTGAGCAGGGATACCACCCTCAAGGCATGGTGGGCCAGGATGTGCTCCACTCTCTTCTTCCTCCATCATTTGCTCTTGTGTGCTCTGATCAAACATGTCCCTCTCCCTGAGCTGTAACTTTAGTGCTGACCTCTAAAGTAAATTCTTTGGGGGGCGGGGGCGGGCTGTTAATGTAGTTGGGATTGGGGCCGGCCCTTCTGGTCTCAAACTCTTAAGGGACAGTTCTGCCCTGTCTTAGGAGTTGCCATCAATTCATTGCCATGAGCCTTGAGTTTAATTAAAACAACCCTCCCACAAAAACAAAACAAACCCCCCCCCCAAATCAAAACCAAAAACAATCGAGTTACTCAGGAGTGAGATAACTCACACCAGTTATGTAGATTGATAACAGTGATGAAATATTTTTAAATATTCTGTAAGAAAATAATTCAAAAGTGCTTTAGGATCTTATTTATATCTTGCTTTTTTAAACCGAGCTGGATAATGAATAATATCAGCGTAGAAGAAGTAAGCGTCACATTGCTTAACAACTTATCATGGCAGTAGTTTATAGGTAGTACATTAAAAACTGAGGAGTTGTGTTTTAATTAATTTCTTTCTGGAGTAACTGAAGGGAAACAAAGGAAAAAGAGCCGAGGAGGCTAGTATTTATTAAACATCCTTTTAACTTTTACTTGTTTTTCCAAACAAAGCCCAAATGAAAATGTGAGTAAGGAAATAAAGGAACATTTTTCCCTCACAAATCATTGTATATCTGATAAGAATGAAAAACAAGGCTCCTAATTCCCTCGCTCTTTTCCGCTATAGCGGAACATATGTCTTCTGTTTGAGACACTCTCATGTTGCCCAGTCGTTAGTCCCTGCGGGAAGATTTGATGCCAGTATTCTCTTCCCCTCTCCCTGGTTTGCCTAGTTTTAGTCACAACCGCAAAATGCTGTTTGAATCTTAGACAGCTTCAGGATGTCTACAACCATTGCATTATACACATTTTGATTCAGTTTCAGCAGTGTGTACCAATGAATTTAAAATAAAAGAATTGAATATTAAGAATCGAAGTTTTTCCTAACAAAGCATTTAGGAAGAGTCAGGAAAAGTGAAGACTTAAAGAGACCATCCCCATGACAAGCGTGGCAACTTACATGTTTCTCAGTGGTTTGGTGGCAGTGCTATTTGAAAGTATTTTTATCTGTAACGCCTTGTTTTATTTATCTTCAAACAAAATCTCTCACGATGAACCCCAGCCCCTTCAAAAAGTTCATGAAATGAAAAGATAATGCAATTTCCCCACATACTTTCTGAAGCCCTAAGAGCATAACTGTCGTGGCTAGTTTCAGCTATCTAGAAAAGGATCCATTGAGCCGTGTTAATGGGTTGTCTCTTGTCTGAAAAGAAAAGTCTTCCACCAGGAAAATATGGTAGTAGGGTAGTGTTATACCTACAAAATCTGGGTAATTCTAGCCACAACCTCTCTTTCTTTCTATAATCTAGTTGAGTTTTGTGGCTTCGAACACACTCCCCCTGCCGCCTCGAGCACTGTGGGACATGGAGAAGTTCCTGGCAACAACATATTTTAACATCCCCTTTTCTTTTTGGGCAGGTCACCGATCCAAAGAGGCCTCTTTCATTTGG